CCCATGGCACCCCCAGCCTCCCACCACGGAGAGCCACAGGGCCAGGGAAGAGGCCACCCGCTGGCTTTGGTCCCGTCCTCCAGACTTGGAGGAAAGTTGCTCAGGCGCTCGGCCCAGGCCCGGAGGGCTCAGGTAGGGCCCCCAGCAGCACTCTCCACAGGGGCAGAGCCAAGTCCAGCAGGCCGCGCCCTGCCACGTGCCACCAACGTGCCACGGCGCTCATTTTCCGGTCTGCAGCGCTGCGGCTGACGGTGCCTCCTGCCCTCCCGGCCGGGCGGGGGCGGCCACACCACTCGAGTCGGTCAGGGTGGCCCCAAGCTTGCGCTTGGGGAGAGGTGGCCTCTGGGACCCCCGGTGGGAGGAGCCCAGGACTCAGCCAGGCCCCTGGCAGCCCAGGGCACCCGCACGAGGCATGCTCTCCACCAGGGGGCGCCGTCCACATGGACCCGCATTTCGGGCCACCCAGGCCACCCGCCTGCCGCCAGGTCTGCTGCTCCCACCAGCTCTGACCTGTCCAAGGAGACGGGGAGGGCCCCGAGACCACTCCTCAGTCCAGCTTCCGACAGGGTCGCTCGGCATGGAAGAACGCGCGTTCTTGCGGGATCCCGGGACCAGACCACCGAGCCCCTCCCCACGTGTTCTCTCATGACAGCCCGGGTTGCCTCCCAGCTCCGGCCCCAGCCCCGATGCCACCCTTGTCCTCTGAAGCTGAGCCAGGAACGGGCACCAGCCAGGCAGGCAGCAGGCTCGGCCCCTACCCCCAGCTCTTGGGGTGTCCGGCACTGCTGTCACTCACCCCGTCTCTCCCCTTGACATGCAACTGAGTGCTGCAAGCAGAAAAGAGACATCTGTTCGTGCTTCAGTTTGGTGAGCCACAGGGGACAACCAAGGGTGCCTTTGTGCTACGGAGCTCTCCAAAGCTCAGCTCACCCACAGGGCTAATGTCTCTCCTTGAAGGTGAAAGATGCCTTTATTTAAAAACTAGCAAATAGGCCAGGCGTGGTGGCCCACACTTGCAATCCCAGCACTTTGGCAGCCTGAGGCGGGAGGATCACTTGAGCCCAGGAGTTTGAGACCAGCCTGAGCAACACAGTGAAAACTTGTCTCCGCAAAAAAAAAAAAAAAAAAATAACGGGGCATGGTGTCATGCACCTGTAGTCCCAGGAGTCTCGGGAGGCTGAGGCTGCAGTGAGCTGTGATCGTGCCACTGTGCTCCAGCATGGGCATCAGAGTGAGAACCCGACTCAAACAACAAACAAACCCAAAGCCCTCTTCCCGCTCCGAGGTCCCACAGAACTCTCCCTTCCAGGGAGAATGTGTCTCATCTTCCTGCTAGACGGTTCCTTCCGGGGACAGGAGTGCTGCCCTCCTTTTCCCCGAATCCTCCAGGACACGCCCAGTCTGCAGCCGGACACCCCAGAGCCTTGATACCCTCTGCTGGACTGCGGAAGGAGAGGATGGACACCCGTGACTTAGGCCACGCAGCAGGCTACCAGTCATGGGCCGAGCCACAGGTCTGCCCAGAAAAGAGCGCTGTAGGATTTCCAAGTCCCAGCACTAGGAATCTGGGATCCCGGGGTACCTGTGAGGTCCAAGGAGGAAGGATACCCCGTGGACTTGAATTCCTGCCAAAGCCTCCAATCATAAGGCGGGAAGGCCACTCAGAGACACGCTTCTGTCCTCCGACTCCAAGGGAGCTGCCCCGCAAACCAGCAGCCTGGAGGTGGCCGAGTCAGAAAAATGGTGATCCACAAACCCGCCAGCCATCCTTCCCGGCGGCGACCCGCAGCCAAGACAAAACAGCCGGCATGGGTGCCAGACCTCAGAGGTGTCTCTGTTCACTTTTTGTAGTTTTTGCCTGTTTTAAGTGGCAGGGTCTTGCTCTGTTGCCCAGGCTGGAGTGTAGTGGCAGGATCAAGCTCCTGGGCTCAGGCCTCCTCCTGGGTCAGCCTCTCGAGCAACTGGGATGCCAGGCTCATGCCCAGCTAACTTGGGCATCTTTTTAGAGATGAGGTCTTGAGGACTCATTGTGTTGTCCAGGCTGATGCCCCCTCCTCGGCTTCTTGAAGCACTGGGACGACAGGCGTGAGCCCCACACCCGGCCTCCTATTGCATGTCAGAGCTCAGCACGGAGCATGTGGTGTTAACCCCTCGGTGGGCATGCACAGGGGGTGGGGGGTCTGGGAACTCCTGGGGGGCATGTGGCTTGTGTGCACATACCTGGTCCAGGGCTGAGGAGCTGACTCTCCCCTGGGAGAAAGTTCTAGAGTCTTGCCTGGAGGCTCCCCAGGCTCTTCTGTCCTCAGGGTTCTGGACGCAAGCGTGAGGCAGCCGCTGCCTCCCCCAGCCCCTGTTTTTGCCTGCATACGAGGTCGTGGGGACCGAAGACCTGTTTTTCCTACGGAATGTTCCAGTATGCAGAGCCACCTTCCTGGCGTTTGAGCGGCTGTGGGGGTGACGGTGGGGGCCATAGCGAGGTCCTCTGAGTCCAGCCTCATGTGACTCGCCAGCCCGGGCCACCCTGCGGACGAGCCCTGCTATCCCGGGGGTCAGTCCCCATGCTGGGCCAAGGACCCGCCCAGGCTTCCAGGGATTCCGTGAGTGCCTCGTGCCCCGATTAACCGCCCTCCTGCCTAGAACATCGAGGGTGCCGCTTCCCGACTTGCATGGGTGTGGACACATGCAGCGTGCAGAACCAGGCTGTCCCCGCCTCTGGGGCAGTGCTGGGGTCTCCTGGGCGGACGGCCCTGGCCCTGGCCCGCCCCATCCCACCGGACGGCGCGATGACACTGTCTCCGGGATATCCGCCCGCAGCTGTGGTTCCGGGCCACCATGTTCTGGTAATTTCCTCCAGCCCCATGGGCATGCAGAGCTGAGATGGCCTGTGTGACTGAACGTTCTGGAAAGCCCCTCTGAAACTCCCAAGGCCATGGCGGTGTGAAGCCCTTGGGCAGAGGTGCTGGGAATGGCTGACACGGGTCCTCAAGGTCGCTGCTTGACTCCTGGAGAGAGGCAGCCTTCCCCACGTCCAGCCTTCCCCGAGGGAGGTGGTCTTCCGTGCATCCTCCTTCCAGAGGCTGCGCTTGGCTGCTCCGGGCAGGCTGTGGGTGTGGGCGGGGCCGGGCCCGGGAGCGTGGCCAGGCCAAAGGCCGCCCTGGCTCAGCCCGTCTGCCAGCCGTGACTCCCCTCGCTGGGTATGCCGTCTCAGGGTGGCGGGTCTCAGTGTTTCTGGTCCCAGGACCCTGCTCACACTCCTAAACGCTGCCGAGGACCCCAAGAGCTTGTTCGCGTGTGCTGCTCCGTTATCAGTGATGGAGGGGACGTGACGGCTCACACAGGCGCCTGCTCCCATCCCTTTGCCGACGGGTGTGTCACCGTGTCACGTGGCCTCGGGAAAGCTCCCTGGCCCGGGCGACAGAATGGGAATGAAAAGGCTAGGAACGCCTTCCTGCGGAGACAGCCTTGACGTTGTAGATTCCTGGTGCCCAGGGCCAGGGGCCACACGCTGAGGACCGATGCCTGGGAAGCCTGCTGAAGTCCCCAGGACGGCCCTGCTGGACTGGTGGGATCCTACCCCGGGGCACAGGGTCTGGGAACTCCTAGGAACTCCTAGCTCGTGTGCACACACCTGGTCCAGGGCCGAGGATCTGACTCTCCCCTGCGGCAACCTCCCTGG